GACAGCTCCGGCGGCTGGCTGCGGCAGCATCGGCTGCCCGGATGTCACTTGCTACGCACCCCTACCCTCTTGTCGACGCCCGTTGTCGTTTCTGGAGAACAACCACGGGCCGAACTTAAACTTCATATTTTTGGACTGTAGCTCCGGAATCAATATGTATACACAGCAAGCAAGAAGTTTCCTTCGTGAAACCGTCAGCGCAGCTCTATCTTCAATTTTCAGGAGCTATTTAGTTGTCAGTCTTTATTAGCTATTCTTCTACAGCATCTAGCAACTTTTCTTGGATGCGGAGAATGCAGTGCTTCTGGTATGCATTCGTGCTTTTTGTTAAATTCCTACATATAATTCTTCGTATCATTTCTTAAAACTTCATGGACACTCAATGAGCAAAGCATCCATTGATGTTCCGACAAGAGAAGTGGATTCGTAAACCCCAGCTTGCCTTAAATATCCCCCTTCAGCAGTGAGAGCAACAAGAGGAATCTAACATAAGATAAACGTATCTGTTGAATTTTGAAGTGTATTTGTGTTGACAAAGAAATTAAGCGATACGGAACAAGACTTAAACATCCGGTGACTTCTCTATCCTATAAGTACAACACTGAGAGCAAAAAATAAAAGCTAGCATTAAGTCCATTACAACAACGTGTTTCTTCATGTTTGGCAACAAATGTTTTGTCACGATTTTGTAACTGTTGTACATTGTGAGACTATGAGAGGTGAATTTTAAATGACTTAACGTAGGAGCTGTGGAAGGGGCTAAGGCTGGTAGATACCCGAACACTAGCCGTACTAACAGTTTATCTATTATTCTTTGAAACGAGAGTAAAACACTCTTAAGGCGAATGAATACAACATGGACAAAGGACCGTTACAATGAATGTGGACTGCTGGATGGGTAGACATTAGCCTGTGGTCGTGAAAGCAGAAGCTCGGACAGCCAGTCGTTATCCTATCTTTAGCTCGACTTTCGACTTCGCATCCTTGATCACGCTCCGGGCGGATGAATCATGACTTCTCGCATTCTTTTCGCCTTTCTACTGATATTTAGACTTCTACTGAGTCTCGCAGGCTCACGTTGCTGCCGATGCTTAAACCTCCTCTATTTACCAATAAGTCCGTCGTCGGACTTAATGCTAAAAAGAACCTATGTAAAAGTCTCACCGTTGCACCGGAGACAGATCAATATCGAGTTGAGTTGCGGGAATGTCAGCATGACGTTCCGCTGCCCAAGCAACAATATTCCAAAAACTGGCACGGCATAGAGAAACGTGGCCCAGCACGAACACGCCCTGGCTGGAACGGGTTAAGGTCACGTTCATACGGTTTTGATCATTTAGGAGTTCGCCCGAGAAAGGCTCGAAGTTAGTACGCGTGGTCAGAAAAATATGACTTTATTTTCCCTGCCTTGGATAGAATCGACAGTGGCAAATTCGATGTTTGTCGTGTGCAATGGCGGTTAATCTCCGCATATGTTCCTTGTAGAAGGAAAGGATGCTGACGGCGACAGGACTTATGTTCCGGGTCTACGTCGATCTCTGAGATGGTTTGTGATACGTCCTCCTCTGCCATGATGTAATCCTTGCACTCCTCGTCGGTAAACTCCTCGTCCATGCGATCTCGATGAAGCTCAAGCTCAACTATGCCGAAGTCGAGAGGCTGAGGGTTACGATTGTAACGAATGTTATTCAAGGAATTATTGAAAAAGTTAGATCAAGGGAAACATCAAGACGCAATGTGCCTAGAAATGTGAAAAGGCAAACGAGGGAAAATAATCAGACGATGAGATAAAAACAATTACTTTGGTTGGGGATGTCAAAAAGAAGAGAATTTTTCTATTTGAACAAAAAAGAAAATGAATCAGGCACCTACTGCAAAATAACGTTTTGGGAATGGTAGCGGGAAATCAAACAAAAATTTTCTTATAATATCAATAAAAGAATAAAAAGGACTCACCGTATTGAAGCTGGGGCCTGTGCCGGCGAGGAATGCGCAGATGGCATGCTATCAAGCTTACGATCATGCCAGCTCATGCTAAATGATAAATCGATTGAATATCTTACATGCAAGGCTGCCATCAATGAGGAATACATTACTTACTTGAATACGTTACAGAAAATTAAAATACAATACAATACAACAATTAGCTCGGGATAGGTATCAAACGTAAAGAAGTGTAAATGCGGATTAAATTAACATTGTATTCCTTACATACCTGATTTGTCAACGATGCGCATCAAGGAGGGATGTAGATGGTACGGCCGTTGGCTAATCTTGTTGCGGGCAGGCTTAGTGCGAACGGCCGTCGTAACAAGTTACCTACTTTGAAAACAAATGATCGATCAGCACTTAATTATTCAAAACTGCTCGAGCTCACCCAACAGCCCTCAAGCGGATGTCGACCCGCGAAATACCTCGAGACAACTCCTAAGTTCCATCCGCCGGCAACACAAAACTAAACTTCACCTTGGGCGAACGCCTAACCAAACACGAGTCCCTTAATCCGCGAGGAAACACAACTTCAACCCGGGGACTAAGCAGGATACCTTTCCTGAGAGTACGCTGGGCACAACGCTACAACCAATACTCACCTCATGACGTTCTATTTCCACTTAGTCCGTACAAGACACACCAGGTGCGCGCACTACTCTAACTTCTCAGCAGAAACTGCTGAACTCCGGGAAAAAATGCTTGAGAAAAGAGAATCGTATTTTATCGTTCAAGTTCAAAAGTTTACTAACAAGGGAAGCTACTTAACTTAGCTCGGCCTTTTGG